GCGAATCCAGGCCCGCGGCATGCCCTGGTCCTCTACCCCTGCGCCCTCTGGCTTTCTTTGGCCTTCTGGAGCTTCATCTGGTCCTGGACAGCAGACAGATGGCAGCTATGACGGAGGGCGTACCCGGCGCTTCTGCATGGCCTCTTGGCGTGGGGCCCCGAGGCAGGCAAGCAGGTGGCTTTCGCTGTCCCAGAGGGAGGTGACCCCAAGGAGGCAGGGATGTACGGTGGATTCCTGGGTGGATGACAGCCAGGAACCACGCCAGAGGGCTCTCAAGGGTGACTGAGCCCCAGTTGTGGCACGAGTCCAACTTCTGTCCCAACAGGTGACGGGAAATACAAAGTGACAGGTTTCACTATGGAGAGATAACTGTAGAAGACGATGAGCAGGTTGGGAAGGGGTCACTGAGCCATCTCCCCGGCCCCAAGAAGTGGGATTGCATCGAGCTAAACAGCTTCTGCCCCACGAGGAAGCAGGCAGCTGTGTGACAAGATGCTCCGCAGAATGGCAAAAGCATTCTGCAAGCCATTCCTGCTAGCGTTAGCAGGCACTTTCTGTAGAAATGGGTCGCCAGTCAAACCTATCACGGGTCTTTCTTGACTCAAAGAACTGAATGTGGCAAGCCAAAAATGGTGCCGAAAGTTTACTTCAAAAGTGAGGAGGGGGGTGGGCCTCAGCAGCATAGGGGCCTGCCTGGCAAGTGCAAGGGCTTGAGTTCAATCCCCAGTACTGCAGAAAGAAAGAAAGAAAGAAAGAAAAAAAACGTGAGGAGGAGGGTAAAGGAAAAGTTCTCCAGAGTGAACTTGGGCTGGACAAGAGAGGAAAAAAAGAAAAAGTGAATTCTGATCTAGAAGACACAGAAGTGGCCACCATGAGGCGCTGGGTTAGCAGGCTCTTGTTGGCATCTGTGTCCTGTGTCTTCCATGCCTCACAGGAGAAGGCCTACATACAGGATCCTGGGAAATTTTTGGTGCTGTCCTGGGATCTTTTTTTTTTAAATTTTATTTTATTTATTTATTTTCAATTAATTTATTTAGTGTGTGTGTGGCCGTCTCAGCCCACCAGGGGGCGGGGCTGGCTGGCATGTGGTGCTGGGGGATTGAACCGCAGTCCCTGTGCTTTGCTTGGCTTAGCTTGTTCTAAGTAGGTGCTTGTTCTAAGTAGGTGCTTTAGACCGCTGAGCCATCTCACCAGCCCCTGTACTGGGATCTTATAATGAACAGATTCCACTTACTTTCCCAGCCAGCTTTGCTGTGTCCTTCCTCCTGTCTCATGAGGACTAATACCTAGAGTAAAAGAAGAGTAAAGAAATTTAGATCCCTCAAAATAAAAGACCTAATCAAAAAATGGGCAAGGGAGTACTTAGACAAAGGTCTGCTCTGTAGAATCTATAAAGAACTAAAAAACACTAGGGCCCCAAAATTTAAAGACCCAATCCAGAAATGGGCATCCGAGATGAA